GCTGGAGACACAGAGGCCTATCTACTCTGTGCTAGACCCAAAGCTGTGACATGGGGCTTCCTTGGAAATCTGATGGGGAAGCAAGATCTGCTGAGGCATTAATGTTGTGAGCCCTTCTATCTTATGCTCAAGCTATATTTATGTGTATATGAAAGCATATATCCTACAGACACCAGTCCTAGAAAACTGAACCCTGGGAAAGCGGTGGAACACCTAGAGTCTCTCACCTCTTGGCGATTGGGACGCAAGCAACACTGAATGGGGAGAGACAAGACGGAGGATTTTCTTCCCCTGTGGTGATATGTGTATGGCAGGCAATAGGAAGTAACTCTTTCTGCAGTGCATAATTCAATTATGTCAGAAGACGTGGCCTTTCTTAAATGGCTTTTTTTTTTTAAGAACTAGCCAAATCTATAGAGGAGAGATCAATTGATGGGAGGAGTAAGGAAGCTTTTTCGGAGCATGGATGCCCATATCTTTTGAGGAACCTGCAGGTCAGGGGATGCATGGCCCAGCATTGGGTGGAGCCAGAGGCAAGAATGGGTGGTGTAATGAGTGTGTGTGTGGGGGGGGGGGAGAAGAGTGAATAAATGAATGGCCAGGATAGTGAAGGATGTAAGTGCGATCTTGCGATCTCTCTCTCTCTCTGAGTCTGCAGGCAAAGGACAAATTTCAGCCTCATCACAGAATGCTTACCAAGGCAAATAGGGGGCTTCCCTGTCCAACTGCCATCTGCTTTACAGGTCCTGTGTTCTGATCCTCCGGTGAGGTAAAAGCCACTCTGGCAAGAGTAGATCAGGGTGTATCCGAGGGAGGGCAGGTCCAGAGCGCCCACGTTGGCATGGGATGGGGTTTCTGGCTCCTTGCAAGTGTGAGCTAGAGTTATACAAAGAGAGTACCCTGAAAACTCAACACACTTTACACCTACATAAACTCTACACAGTTATGAAGATGGGCATTATTTCTAAGGAGCAGGAGGGCCCAGTAGGAGAGGCTGCTGGGCTGGATGGGAAGGTCCTGTGAGCTGCAAATGACCCACTGGTTAGAGCTCCCCCCCTTACCAAAAAATGATTTAGCTGCTTAAGCCGGTCCTATTGAGATCAGTCAGGCAGAGGTGCTCATTGTAAGATGCCAGGGGTCTCTGGTAGTGGGGTTCAGAAGCTTACCGTATTTTTTGCTCTATAAGACTCACTTTTTCCCTCCTAAAAAGTAAGGGGAAATGTGTGTGCGTCTTATGGAGCGAATGCAGGCTGCACAGCTATCCCAGAAGCCAGAACAGCAAGAGGGATTGCTGCTTTCGCTGCGCATTAAGTATACCACTTAATGATGTCGTTTCTGAGCAGGGTACAATAGCTTTACTCTTTGAACCATCATGGCAGTTTAGCAGGTAAGGGAGCAGCAGCACTTCAGCGCCGCCAGTGTGATATTGCAGAGAGTGGTATTGCACCAAAAATCTCTGTAAGCTCTGGGGTTAAAGCTGCTGCCTCTGGCCTACCGCCTCAGCCAGAGCAATATGTTGCTCAGCCACAAAGCACATGGACTTTACGACTTTGGCTTAAAGCACACCCTCTGATAAATGCAACCTCTTAGATCTCACCCCTATTTCCTTTTGTGCCATGTTTTTAGACACAGATTTGTGCTTCAGAGCTCTGTGTCTGAGCACTTTTTTTTGCCCCAGTGCTTTCCACATGAAAATCCACACTTTATCTCTGAAAACAATTCCACGGAAAGCCCAAATTGCTGCTTGTTCTGATTCAGCATTAAAGAGCGGGTTTTCACAGGGATAGCACCAGGGAAAGAGGAAGGAAGGAAGGAAGGAAGGAAGGAAGGAAGGAAGGAAGGAAGGAAGGTAGGTAGGTGCTTGGACATGGAACACATGGACATGTCCCTAGAAAGTGTGCGGCAAAATCTAAGTGTGGATGAGCACTTAAACTAAGAATGGCCAGTGCGAATTTTGTTTATCCGCCAGACCTTATTGCTGTATCAAAGCTTAGCTGCTTGCCAGAGTGGAAGTGGAAGATGTCACAAGGGCAAAAGTGTCATAAGCTCCCCTTGCTATTGTGCTGCTACTCTGAGCACTAGGCTCACTAACCATGAGAGGAAGATAAGGAGACGGGCTGGAGAACTCAGTGGCAGAGCACATGCTTTGCATATAAAGGCTCCAAAGTTTGACCCCCCAGCTTCTCCAGCAGTAGGGCTGTGAAAGACATCTGCCTGGGTTTATGGAGAGCAGTTGCCAGCCAGTGTAGACAGCATACTCTTGAATCTAAGCAAGGCAGTTTCCTATGAACGGCTTTCAGAATGCCAATCCCTGCTTCACCATTTTCTGGCCCATCTGCTTCCCAGCTGGACTCCCTGCCTGGATGGAAGCCATTGCTTCCAGACCAACCAACCCGTACACTTTCCATGGGGCCATTATAAAATCTGAAGGCAGTTTAGGAGACTTGCTTCACCGCACACCCCAAACCCCAGGATTTTAGTGCAGGCTGCACCCCAAAAGCCGGCCAAGACATTCTGCTTCACATCAGGCTGCAAGACTCACGGATGCAATCAGGCTGCATTCCACTCCATGTCAGGTTTGGGAGACAAGCCCGCGTGGTGGAGCCCTGCAACAGGTATCCTTTGTGGCACTTGAAATAGACAATGCTCCCGATCTGTTGGGATGGAGAGACAGAGACTGAGCGGTGGAAAGAAAAGGGGTTTACAGCCTTTACAGCCTTGGAACCTGCCTGCAATTCCAAGCTGTGAGATGTGGCCCAATAAACTTCTGGCAGCATCTTTAGGCAGCTCAGGCACTCTCGCAGCCACCCTTCCCAGAATGATGCTTTGGGAGCCTTTCTGGGCTATTGAGAAGGATATATGTATTCCAAATAACTAATAATAATAATTGGTGCTTTTTAGAGTGCAGCAGGGACTCTACTGTTAAAGGTAGGGTGAAAGAAATAACCTAAGCAGGGGGAAAGTGGGCTAAAACGAAGAGGAGGAGTGGGGCAGGGGCAGTGGTAGCAGCACAATATCTTGTGCCAGCCCAGTTTACGAAAGGCCATGCATAGCGGTAGCCAGAATGTTGGACTGCAGAGATGTCGATTCAAACCCCCAGTCAGCCGTGAAGTTCACTGGGTGACCTTGAGCCACTCATTCTATCTCAGCCTTGGATTGTGTGTCTAATGCTTGCTGCTCTAAGTTCCTTGGATAAAGATGTAATAATCAATAAACAGGTATATACACCAGGATGGTGCTCAGCACATGAAGGGAAGGGCAACAGAAATAGGAAGTTGTGAGAACCAGCGCCTGCATCCCACTGTCAAGGGAGGAGGAGAGGAGGGGATTTGATTCTGAGCGAATAGGAGTCATTAGATGCAGGGGTTGGTTTAGCCCCTACCTCAATTCAGGTGACCCAAGGAGCCCCGCAACATCAGACTAAAGGCCTATCTAGTACGCAGCACCCCATTTCCCCACAATGGACAACCAGCTGCCTCTGGAAAATCCACAAAGCAGAACAGGACCACAATTGCCCCACCTCCCACTGTTGTTCTTCAGCAACTGGTATGCTGCCTCTGGTCCTGGAGATCACAGGTGACCACCATGACCAGTAGGGAGTACTTCTGCACACAGTACCCGGCTAGCCTATGGAATCTGCTGCCACAGGATATACTGACAGCTAACAGTTTCAAAAGAAGGATGAGACAAATCCCTGAATGATAAAGGTAGTGACGGTCACTAGTCACAAAGAGTCAACATCTCTGTGAATCACCAGTTGCTGGGAACAATTATTGCTCCTCATGTGCTTCTCAGAGACATTTGGATGACCACTGTGGGCAGCAGGATGCTGCATGAGGTAAGCCTTTCGTTTGGATTCAGTAGGGTCTTCTTATGCAACACATTTGCACTTCAGTTCAATCAAAGGAATCATTCTGTGTCTGGGAAACGTTACGTGGAAGGGAGGAAGGGAGACTAGATTAGATGGATGGAAGGATCGAGAGATACTATGCATCAGGCAGATAAAGGAGTTCATTTAGAGAGAGGAGAGAATAAAATTAGATCAATAAAGAGGCAATAATAATTACCTGATAACCTTGGGAGTTGTTTTGCATTCCATAAAGGGGCACACCAGGATCTATACATGTTGTGTGTGTTGAGTCTGATTAGAAGCAGACAGAAATGTGGTAAAAGATTGAAGAGCAAGGAAGAGTTAATGGCACTATTAATCTAGCATTATTTATCTCCATTTATCTTGCTTAATTCCAACAAGTGAGCTGTGGCAAAGGGATGGGTGAATCTGTCAATTTCAGTTTTTTCAGCTTCTCATCTTTCTAGTTGTAAGTTCAGCTCTCCACATCAGTTTGTGATTTATTTAAAGAAGCCCTCATGAAAATCCACCAGCATTTTGGTGTGACTTTCTCCTACTATACACAATGTTGCCTAATGTATGCATTTTTGCAAGCAATTTCCCCTAACAGAATGCAATTTTATGCTATTTTCACTAATAATAAAGTGCGCATTTCCCCCCAATGCACACAATTTTGCACATAATGCTTATTTAGATAACTGTATCTTTAAATTCAGAGAAGTATGAGTCATGAAGGATAGCTTTGATTTTGTTCAATGATGGGAAGTGCAAAATAGGTAGATTCCCATTAAATCCAAACCAAAAATGAATTTGGTTTGCCATTCTTCCCTATGGTTCCAATGAATGTTGCACTGGGAACTTCTGGGCTGACAGTTTTGCACTACAAGGCTCCATGAGCCTCCCCCCAATCTTGTGTGTCTGGATATTTAAAGTAGTAGCCTGAGACAAAGATCTTATCTCAGGTGTTGACTGGGAAAGGGAGAGAACTGAAGATCCCATCAACTGCAGTTGGGGAGGCACACAAGGAGTCAAGTGTCTCATACCCTGGTCTAGCAACCATACCAATCACTCTTCCTCCTCTCTCTCTCTCTCTCTCTCTCTCTCTCTCTCTCTCTCTCTTTCTCTCTCTCTTTCTCTCTCTCCACACACCCATATGTGTGTTTATGTGTGTGTGTATGTGTGCTCACACACACACACACACACACACACACACACACCTTCTAGACATTTTGTTGTCCATAATAGACTTTCAGCACTCACTGGCTCATAGCTTTCATTGGTGAAATGCCCCACCAAAATGCCCTCTTACCTATGCAGCTTGGCTGTGTTCCGCTCCACGATCCATCAGATTGACAGAACCTCCTTGCTGATCCCACCAGCACCAGTGGAGGCAAACAGGAATACGAGACAGAGGAGCGATACGTGAAGCCCCGGTCTTCACGCCTCCCTTCCGCTGGGATTCCCGGGTCACCACAGAAAACGGCTGTAAAAGAGCAGTTAGGCTACCTTAACAAAGGCCACCAGTTCAGTAAGGTAAACACTTCCCAACTCAAATGAATCCTCCGATTATAGACACATCCCACATAGAACTGCAATTTTAAAGAAAAATCAGCTTCAGGCATGAGGGGTAGGCGAGCATCATTCAGTACACTTCTGCCTTGTCACCAATTACTGTTTAATTAATTTCCTTCTACCCACCATCTCCTAGCAGAAGGGTTGAGGGAGAATGAAAGGTAAGCTTCCATTTTTCACCCCTGCTTTGGTTTACATTTAAAATGTATCTTCAATTGTACAGTGGAAAGTCACCATGTGGCACCGCATTAAACAAGAAATCTTGTTTTGTTCTACAACAGGCGAGTGGTGGTGTGCAGAACATGAGCTCCCCCCACCCTCAATCTTTTGATGGCCATTGTCCAGGGAGGTCAGTGGGAAGAAGCCACCTTAATGCCAAGCTTTACCGTGGCAAGTTATTTTAAGAGAACCCAATGCAGCAGCGGTGTGGGCCGATGAAACTCTCTCTGCACAGAAACAATCAAAGCTTGTTCAATCACACACAGTTTGCACTTGGAGAAGGATTTAGCATCTAGCAAGCCTTCAAACACTTCCTCAACATCAAGGGCCAAGTCTGCAAACAGAGCTTAGCTTCTCATTTTCTGTCTAAATGAAAGGCAGGTTTGAAAAGGGGTCAGCAAATGCCACCCAGCATTTCCCTCTGGTGCAAGAACGAAGAGGATGGGTTGTAAATTGTGGATTTGATGACACCTTTGGATCAGCGGTTTGTGTGTTAAGGAAGACTCACAAGTAGAGTAGAGTGGGGTGGGCTGAGGCTGGGCCACTTGAACCAAGGGAGTACTTACATGTTCCCCCGCTCTGCTGCAAGAGCCTACACCCTGCCATTTCTCTCCTGCCTTGATACCCTTTTGGGAAAGTAAGTAACCTTACCCCCTTTGCCTGTGATAGACAGAGACATTTGGGAAATGGCATGAAGTCTGGGCTCAAGTTACTTCAGTGGTCCTTCCAAAGGCCTCTGGGTCCTAACCTTAGCCCAAAGCAGGTAATGTCTGTAGTGAAATATGTCCCGCCCATTCCACTTCCAATTTTCCCTTACAGCACAGTTGAGATTGCATGCTTACGAAAACACTGCGGGAGTTCTCCGCTCCATGATCCATTCCCTTCGCAGGTCAGAATTGCGGGCAGGGACAGCTGATATCCTTCTAGGCAGCTGTAGCTCACACTTGATCCCCAGCTGAAATCTGACCCCACAACTTTTCCATTGGGAACAACCTGAGGTGGTTTGCAGATGATAGCTGGGCAGAGAGAACAAAAGGGCACATTCAGTCCCACGTAACCATCAGGGATGAGCAGAATCCAGTGGTTCAACTCCTCAACGTTTTGGCAGACAATGGAATGGATTCAGATTAGATCTCAGCATCCAGAATGAATAATGTCAGGGGTGGGAAAGTACACTAGAGGTCACATCCAGGCTTCTGTCAGGCCCTTGGGACTCTCTCCCCAAACCATGGCTCTCCCCCCCCCCCCCCAGGCAACATCTTTCACTGTTCCTGCTCCATGCCTTCTCAAAATACTGCAGTAAAGGGCTGCAGTAATGTTTCTTGCTTGCCTAAATAGAGAATGCATGACTGGGACGCAGTCTATTGTACAACAATCACTTTCACTGCTCAATTTACTTTTATCTTTGGCCTCAGCCATCATTGGCACACAGTCCCCAGAAATTTGCCCATGAGGAAAAATTAAGGGAGGCAAGCAGGCCCAATGAGGTTGACCTTAGTGCCTGGGGCAGGATCATACTAGTGGAGGTGATCTTTCAGATAACATGGCCCCAAACTGTTTGGAGCTTTAACCATCAAAACCAGCACTGCTTCATTTGGCGGCCCTTGCAGATAGGCATTCATTGGTTTAAAAGAGAAGAGCAAAAACCCACCTGGTCTCTCTCCTCCAAAGGAAATTGACTTCACAAATGCCAGCCTGCCCTTTCCACTTGGGAAAGGGGATTGTCAAACACTGCATGGATATAGATGGCCCCCATTAACAAGGGGACAAGATGACCACAGCATACATGCAACCAGCCATACAGTAAGCTGGCCATATGGAACACCTGTTGTATGGTAAAGTGGACTTCAACACACATGCACACCCAGTCAGAAACCCATGGTAGGAATAGTAATATTCTCCTTGTCCTACTTACTGTGTTCGCAACCATGATAATTGCAACCTTGACAAATGGTTGTCCATATCAAGTGCTGCAGTCCAAATTTCTTTGGAAAATCTCAGATTATATTCCCAGGCATACAATGCATCTTAAAAAAAAAAAAAAAAACTAATCCTGAAGATGCTGAACAAATAGGCCTTACCTTTGCAGACAGGTTTTGTTCCATTCCACGTCCGGTCCTTGGTGCAGGTCAAAGCAGAGGCTCTGTCTGTCTCCATCATGTAGCCAGGCATGCACAGAAACGTGACAGTCTTATTGTAGGTGAAGTCATTGCCCAACCGAATGCCATTGGCTGGCACTCCAGGATCCCCACAGTTAATAACTGGGTGGAAAGAAAAACACATAAAGTGGTTACATTCTCAGAATGTCTCCAAAGCAAAGTTGCAAAGCTGGCCTCTGAATAATGAGAGTTAATGAGCAAATCTTCACTTCAGTTCTAAATATAAACCTGTATTTTCTCCAGATTGCAGATTTGGGTGGGTGAAAGCAGAGAATGGTCATTTGCCTAATTCCTAAATGATGTGCTGGGTAAGGCTAAGCTAAAACTCCACACACACCTAAATAATTTGTGGCCCTATTCACAGACTGCAAAAATGAGAGGAAACATTTCACTTTGGGTGCCTATGTGATTTTTAGCACACGAAAATCACTGAAGCTCTCTCATGGTTCTGATTAGCTTGTGTCTGCCATCTCTTTCCCCCCCCCCCCCTAAAAAAAAAAAAAAGTCTAATTGCAGGGAGTATTCTAGGAGGAAATTCTGGTTGCCAGGAAAAAGTAGCCATATTTTAGTGGCAGCTACCCCAAAAGTCCTTTAAAACGGGAGCACTTTGTATCTCTGTATGTGTGAAGGTTGCAGCCACCAGCCAACTAGATCTTCAAAGGAGCTGCAGTGATCCCCCCCCCAAAAAAAAACAAGAGAGAGGGGGGAGATTTTCACCCCCTCTTATGATTCAAACTCCACCCCCCATTTGAGTACATGCCGCCTGGGGCTGATGGCATTCCAAAGCATCTGAAAGGCACTAGGTTGAAGAGGGCTGATATAGAAAAAGAAGGGACCAAATAGAAGTGGTGGATGCAAATAAACTGCAGAGCGGCTATTCAACTCTTCATCATTAAGATTAAGAGCCTGATCTGGACTCTTCCAATGGCATCTGGCTAACTGGTGTTGAAAAAGAGGGAGGACTAGACAAGGTGGATGAAATTTTGGTCAGTGTACTGTATATATAATGCCTTAATGGATTGCTCTTGAGCTACTCACCTGTACACTCTGGGGTACTTCCAGTCCAGGTCCCATTGACTGTACAATGCCTGCTGAGCACCCCCGTGGAGTAGTAGCCATCCCGACACTTGTAAATGATGGAGCTTGAAAACACCAGGCCATCGTTAAATGTCACTATTGCATTGCTGGGAGTCCCAGGGTTTCCACAAGATATAACTGCAATGAGTAAATAAAGGTCAAACAAGAAGTGTCAAAGGTTACTTATGAAAGCTACATTCCAGAAGCATTTGGATTGATGTATGTAGTTGACTTAGGACAAGGTTCCCCAAACTTGGGTCTTCAGTTGTTTTTGCATTACAATTCCCATAATCCCTGCATCCCTGACCACTGGTCCTGCTAGCTATTGATGATGGGAGTTGCAGTCCAAAAACAGGAAAATAAACCACTTGGACCTGTGCATGGTGCAAAATGAAATCTGGAAAGCATGGTGCAAAATGAAGTCTGGATGAGTCCTGCATCTGTGCACAAGATGTGTAGGACCAAACAGCTGTAAAAATGTATAGGAAAACACAAATAAATGAACAGCTGTGTATAATAAGAGTCTCCTTTATTTCCCAAAGGAATCAGGTTCCCTCTCTCCTTTATATATAGTAACTGTCCAGTTAAGTTTCCTCAACATGCCAACATCCTTTTCAATAGAGCAAGAAGGTGACATAGCCAGCCCAGCCACATTTTGCTACCGAGAAGTTTGGCTTTAGAACTCCTATTGAAGGTTCCAAATGCTGCTTCCTCCAGATCAGATGACTTTTAAAGAATATGAGCTTCTGCACAGGAGTTGTGGAAAATATGACCTTCATCTCCTCAGTTAAACATATGTATTAAAGATTATCAACCTAGAAGGCTCAGGAACATGAAATCTGGCCTTTTACCTGATCCTTATTCAGGATTTTTGATCCCACACGCTCCCCTTTATGTTTTCCTTGCTGCTGAAACAACAGCCTGCAATTGCTCCCTAACAAGACACTACAATGCATTTGCTGAAAGCCTGCTTTGGAACAAAATGCTGTTGAAAGCCTTCAGCGCCCTTTAAAGTCCTTGCTTGGAGCTGGCTATTTCACACGCTTTTAAAATTAAACAGTAACTTACATTTTGCTTGAAATGCAAAGCAAGATGTGCCGGCATGGGGGAGAGGGATGGCGACAACAACAGCAACACACTCGGGCAATGTAAATGTACCTTTGACGGTCATATCAGAATACGGAGCAGG